CGATGGTTGCTTGCATGGGAATCCAAGCCTGGTTAGCTATGGTGGTGTTGTGAGAGACTGGAATGGGACTGTTGTTTTTTCTTATGCAGTGTCGTTAGGGATTATAACTGCCAACCATGCTGAGATGTTGGCTCTCCTTAATGGTTTAAAATTGTTCATTGATATAGAGGTTGCTCAGTATTGTATTGTGGAGGGGGACTCGCTCAATGTCATCAATTGTTGTAATGGTCTTCACAAGGCTCTTTGGGAGCTGATGTCCCCTCTACTGCAGATTTGCGATTTGTCCAGGTCTCTTGTTATTTCTTTTGTGCATGTGTTTCGTGAAGTTAATACTTTAGCCGACTCTCTTGCCAAAGAGGGTTTATCCATGTCATCGGCTCTTATTTCTGACTTTGTAATCTCCTTTAGTTAATGAATAAAAACTAATGAATTCCTATCAAGAAAAAAAAAGGAATGCACAAGCACCATTCCAATGACTTCATATATACATTTTTTTTTTTTTTTCTTATATCTAATGGCCAAAATTTAATTTCATATATATATATATATATATATATATAAAACTATTTATCTGAATTTTTAGTCAGTTTAGAGTAATGACCCTATGATACCCCCTCGCACACCCATGTGTGTAGGACCTCAAAGGTTACCATTAAATTTGGCACAGATCTCAAAAAAAGTTGTCACATTGGTGTGGGACTTGACTTTTCTAGAGATCTGTACCAAATTTAATGGTGATCCTTTGGGGTCCTATACACGTGGGTGTGGGAGGGTCTCATAGGATTATTACTCATGTAGTTTATATTTATAAAGAGAATTAAATAAAAATAACCAAAATAAACTTAAGTATATTTTGATTCAATATTTTTATTCAAAATTTTGTTTATTATTGTTTTTTAATTCTACATATAAAAATGAAGCTAAAACTTAAAATTCATATACTATCATTTTTTAAAATTAAAAATAAAAAACAAGATTCATTTTTAGCGCTTGGTTCAATCTGAGCACCTTTTAAGCGTCCACAACATGTAGATGCAAATCCACTCAAATCTAAACATAATTCTCAAATTTTGTGCAGCGAAATGACACGCCCCATTTGAAATAGGGATTGTGTACTACAATACCATCTATTTTTTTTTGTACGAAGAAGTCACAATCAATTTTAGCCATTGAATGTGAATTTCAATAGATTGCAGTGTATCACAACTTTCAAGAAAATTTATTTTAGATTTTGCGTCTGATCAATGATACATCTTCAACCACCATATTTCACATCTAACAGTCTTATATCAAAAATAAATGATATCATTGTAACATTTCCTTTGAAATATTTGGCACATTCGTATACAAATCTCATTATATGCAATCCCATCTAAATTCCAATGCGTGAAAATGAGCCGAATTACTTCAACAAAACCCCCAAAAAACGCTTTATAACATTCCCCATTTCTTCATAGCATAGGGAGGTGATAGAGGACAGTATCTCTCCTTCCAAAAAAACTTGGAATGGGTGTAAATCGATGCAAATTAACTAAATTAAAGGAAAATTATCAGAAATATATCTTAATTTTTGTCTAATTGGAAAAAAAACCTTCAATTTTAATAAACTTCGTCCACATCTTTTTTTTCTCAATTTTGGTATTTTTTTATCAAAATATCCTTCACGGTAGTTGTATTACTGTGAAGGCTCTATCATTACGGTACTTAACGTAATGTAATACCGGAGTCATTACGGTAATACGACTACCGTGAAAGATATTTTGGTAAAAAAAAAAAAAATCAAAATTGAGGAAAAATGGTGTAGACGAAGTTTATGAAAGTTGCGGGTTTTTTTTCAATTAGGTGAAAATTAAAGTATATTTCTGATAATTTCCCTTAACTAAACTAATGCCAGTCTTAAGGATGCTAGTTGGATTTCCCCCACTACAGGGATGATTTAAACTTAATTTTGATGGAAACGTGAGGAATAAATCTCAAGTTGCAAGATAGGTGGGATTGCTGAGAGACACTTGGTAATAGGAGACTCAACTAATGTAATAGGCAGGTGTAAATATATAT